CGCTCGAAAAGTAGAGACTAAGCTTCGTCCATAACTTTCGCATACGAGCTCCCTTTTTGTCTGTCTTTTTACCGTTGATTTCCTATTAATGAGATATTCAACTCTCATTTAGACCTCGTTGGCTAATTCTCATTCTATCTCGGATTTACAAAACTGTATCGAATTCACCGCGCTCGAAAAGTAGGGACTAAGCTTCGTCCATAACTTTCGCATACGAGCTCTATTATCGACGTTCTTTATATCCACACGTTGGTATTTAAGAGTACTACAAATTTCATTTAGATCCCGTCGGTTAATTCTCACTCTATCTCAGATTCACAAAACTCTATCGAATTCGCAACGCTCGAAGAGTAGGGACTAAGCTTCGTCCATATCTTTCGCATACGAGCTCTATTATTGACGTTCTTTATATCCACACGTTGGTATTTACGAGTACTACAACTTTCATTTAGATCGCTAAGGCTAAATCTTGCTCTATCGTAAATTCACTATTTACGCCTCCCGGTATCGTGTCGGTTCCGTCACGAAACTTTGACGGGTCATAACTTCTTCGTTATAACTCGGATTTCGACGCTCTTTATATGTACAGAAACCTTGTAACATATACTAAAACTTGGTTGAGATTATTTATTCTTAATAATCTTTTGTTGAAAATTCGTTTTCGACCCCTATTGCCTCTAAATTGACTAGCCCGGATCTACGGGCGTTACATGCTGCTCCAACTCAACAACCTATAATCATCATGTAGTTGACTCATCACAGTCCCAAATTACCATAATCATCTCCAAATTCAACCTTATTCAAAGTCAAGGTCAACAGTCAAGGTCAACAATCAATATTGACCTCTACTCATCGAGTGCATCCTAGCAACTCGTCAAGTGCATCCTAGAAACTCATCGAGTTCCTTCCGATTCTATTCCATAGAATCCCATGTCAGCTCGCCGAGTCACCTAAGTGACTCATCGAGTTTATCAAATGTCCAGAAAACTAAAAGTTTATGCAGTCCCAAAACCCTAATCCTTCACTGCACTCCTTCCGAATCTCGAAAACGGGTAAAACTTACCCGACTCATTGAGTCAACTGAGGGACTTGGCGAGTTCCTTCAGTCCTTTTTTATGTTTAGCCCTTTCCATGGGATCTAAGGTCCCAAGCTTCAAATCCAACTTCACCTAGTGCCTTTACCACGTAAAGTTGAAACCTTTACGTGCATGTAAGGCCTTACAAGGCTAAACCATCAAAACTAAGCTTCCTATAAGGTTTTAGTGCATGGAAAGGGCCTAGGTTGGATAAAGTGAGCAACTTTATGTCATTGGGGACCTAGAGAGGTCCAAATCTGGAACCATATCCTTGTGATAACTCCAACTCTGAGTAGGATTCCATTTTGCACCTAAAATGGTCATTTACTTCAAAGAAAAGGTATCTAAACAACTAAAGATCAAGGTAATGACTTTATAACTCAAAATGGTTGCCAATACAGAGCAGATTTCGGATCTACTGCTTCTCTCCTTGCTCCTTTTTCTTCAAGCTCCAAAATCCTTCACAAGCACACCAAAATTACTCACAAAAGCTCTCTCTCTCTCTCTCTCTCTCACTCAAGGAGGTGCAAGGTTTAACTAGGGTTTTCTATGGCTAATGAAGTGGTAAGGGAGGCCACAAGAGGTGGGTTATGTCCTTTAAATAAGGTGCAAATCCTGAAAATTAGGGTTTCCTTTATAGTGCCTACTCTTCGAGTTGGGGCTTGCCGACTCGTCGAGTAGGATTTAAAATTCGTGTCCTCATAATGACTTCTACTCGACGAGTTGGAGCTCCCTAACTCTCCGAGTCCATGCACAAAACCCTAGAATTGATAAATTAAATAATAGCTAGAATAGGTTTTACATTTTGTAATTAGATAACTTAAATGATCTAACTCTAATTCAAATGGCCAATAAGAATCACAATTAGAATCAAACATTTGATTAAAGCAAAATCAAATTCACTAGATAGAAATTAGAAGCAAACATCAAGTCATATGGTTGAAATCACAATTAAGAAGTCAAAACATAAGGTTGGAGAAACTAAGGTTCTAACTACACATGGCTAGAACAAGATCACAGTTCGAGAAGATGGATATAGTACGTAATTACAACTTACAAATAAGAGAAATAATGTTTCCAAATGATAAATGATCAAATCCTTGCCAAAGCCTTCGAAATCCTCTCACCAATAGTGCTATGATATGATACGGCAGTCTAAAAATGACCCAATTCCCGAATTATCAAAGATAAGAAAAACTGCCAAAAGTTAGTTTTAGGACCAAACATGCCCCGTGTCAAAATAGAGTAAATAAACACAGGTCGTGTTGAGTAGAAATTGGCACTTTGTAACGACCCAATTTTTCACGTCCAAAATTTCATTTTTAAAACTTTACTTAGAAAACACTAATAATTAAAACATTGTTCAATTAAACCATTTCAAATCTAAAACCCAAATTTGAAATCCACAACATGTAAACAACCAAAATATCAGAGTATCAATCCCAGAATAAACTCATAACTGCGGAAACAAGAGTGTGTGTGATATGCTGCTACCGCGCCGGCTCTTTTCCCTTAGCTAAAGAGGTACTTGAAACCAAAACTAAAAACCGTAAGCACAAAGCTTAGTGAGTTCCCCCACTGTACCACATACCATATAATCACATAACATGCATAAATTGTCAGGCATATTTGGGTGCCCGACCTACCCGTTCAGTCCTCTCGACCGGATGCTGCCTAGCATATCTGGGTGCTGGCCTCCCCTTCGGTCCTCTCGACCGGATACTGCCTAACATATCTAGGTGCTGGCCTCCCCTTCGGTCCTCTTGACCGGATACTGTCTAGCATATCTAGGTGTTGGCCTCCCCTTCGGTCCTCTCGACTGGATACTGGGGACTATTTCACCCCCTACTACTACCACATAACACATATATCACATAGTCTATCTAGCATGGCTGGGCGTGACCGCCCCTTCGGCCCTATCGACTGTTATTCTGGGGGACTATCTCCCCCTACTGTCACTAACACATAAACATAACACAGGTAGTAGCAACCCTAGATGAATATCACAAAGACAATCATCTAATCATACATCTCATACTGGTGGGCCGGCATTGTGGCCTTAGACCCACCGCTACTGGAAGGTAACTCACCTCAAAGTGGCTGTTGAACTGATCAGAAACTAACTGTCTACTGCTGCTGCTGCTCCAGACGTCCTCCGGCTATAAATCCCACAAAACGATCAGTGAAACACTGCTAGATGTTCTTAGGGTAAAATGACCCTTTTACCCTCTACCAGGTCGAAATCCAAGTCAAAGTCAACTTCCAGTTGACTAGACTCGTCGAGTCTACAAGCAACTCGCCGAGTCCTTCCCTTACTAACCCGGATCCCGCTCCGACTCGTCGAGTTCCTTCATGGACTCGACGAGTTGACCCCTTTAACTTAGGGTTTTCCTTTCCTTTCTTGGTCTTTCTAATTCTGAGTGTTACAACGGTGGTGGTTATTAGTGGTCTGTGGTGGCTATCGGTGGTGTGTGGTGTTAGTGGTATAAGTGAGAGTATGGGTGTGTCCCACATGTCTATAAATCACTTAATTTTTTTCTTTAATTAATAAATAATAAAGAAAATAACAAAAAAATGAAAAAAAGTTACAAAGGGCAATATGCCAATATAGTATTTTCACCTCGGAAAGGGACGAAATACGCAACAAAATCATACTATGGGGACGTTTGTAAAAAAAGTTTAGGACCGAACACACATGTTTGACCAAATCATACGGATAATTTCAATAATTTGTTCAAAAATTATTAACTTTGATAATGTTTGATGATGCTTTGGATAATAAAAAATGCTAAAATTAAAAAAAGATATTTGGGTTACTATTTGATCCTTTCATAGGTAGTCTCAACTTTCTACATATCCTATAATCTTTGTCTTGTGAGTCGACTGTTTAATCAATGCAATCGCCAGGAATTTATATAAACTTTCACCGTGGTTCCTTTTATTGAGTCATGAGGACACATCTCCTTTAGGGAGGAAGGAGTCGTTTCCCTCCTCCCGCCGAAACCGCTAAACCCTAGGAGGAGGGTATCGAACCCGTCCACCCTAAAACCGTCGACCCCATCTTCTTCAACTTTCCGTCTTAACTTGTCTTCCCAGCGGGTTCCTCAAACCACTAAACCCCTCTCTATCCCGTCCATCCCTTTCTTCCGCCGACCCGCAATGACTCATTTCTCCCCTAGGAGAAGGGTGATCTCTGTTGGAGTCATTCAGTATCTGGCCATATGGGACCACAATAGTCCATGGGCATTTTGGGAAGGCTTTTTTTTAATTAATTTTAATTTAAATTTTTTTTTTTTAGAGTTTGAGTCAAATACCTTTTTGTTTGGGTATTAAATAGTATAAAATATGGGACGTAGGTATCATTGTACTTTATCCCAAAACCAAGTTTCACCATGGTTCCTTTTAATCCCCTGTTTTTACCTGAGTTAGTTTTTTCCTCTGTTTTTCGTCCCTCTCCTTCTTCCCTCCTGTTCCTCTTTTTTTTTTCTTGGTGCAAAAGGTGCAGGTGAGTAAATCAGCTCCTTTGTTGTACACTCTCCTCCTTCCTCCTTTCCGTCCCCAACTCCCCACCACTCTCTTTTGTTGCTTCTTTAACTAATACAATAAACAATGGCTTCTATCATAATCAACATTAAAATTTTTTAAGCATTTCTCTCGAAGAGTTGACATTTTATATAGCAAGTTAGATAGTATGTACATATATGTTTTACATATAGAAATGTTAGAATTTGGATAAGTGCAAGTGGGGTTTGCTCACGACCAAGCAGGGATTCCTTGACTCTATCAAATGTTAGAAATATGACACAAGCCAGGACCCAGGAAACTGACTGGTCGATGTTAATTATGGCACTCATTTTCAACATAGTTGACGAGATCACCGGGTATATACTTGTTATGAGCAAGAAAGCGTACATTTAAAATATAGGCATCTTCATATCACCCAAGTCAACCTATCTCTCATTCTTGAGATGAAACTGTCTACAAGTTTTCTGTTCTTCTTTGGTGCTTTCGTTCTTGAAATGAGCATTGTGCATGCAAATCATGGAAATTTTCAAAATTGCTCAAAGAGCCAACATGCAGGGATAGGTGTCGTGGTTGAAAAAAGCTCACGTGTTGGGAGAGAGCAAACGATAGCCATGGAGATGGCTATCCATGATATCTGCAGAATTACAAAGAGTCCTTGTTCTTGTCCAATTTTGCATGTCAAGGATTCTCAAGGAAACCCCGCTCGGTCGGTTTATGAAGGTAAGCTCTTATCATAAGGTCATTTCCAAAGTTATATGAGAATTCCAATAACTATATCATTTTACCCGTTAAATTTTATATTCCATTAAACTCTTAAGAGTTAAATGAATTTCCACATCAATATTTTATTATACTTTTTTTATAAATAATATTATAAAAGTATAATATTACATTAATTAGAAATTAAAAGTAACAAATTACAAATTATTAATTAAAGATTGCTATAGATGTTATGGTTTTAAAATATTTTTAATATATATATATATATATATATATATATATATAATATAATATAAATTAACTCGTTAATTTAAAGTATTGAATACAAAATAAAATAAATTACAAATATATTATAAATAAAAAAATAATGATGTATACCTTGTGCATGTGTGTACGGTGTAATTATTTAAATACAAAGTTTTATTGGTTAAATGGTTTACAAAAAAAATTCCATACCACAAGTTTAATAGGGATTAAACCCCAATTCATTGAACAATGGTTGTGTTTAATGTATTGAACTCCACCTGATTAACATTTTGCCAATTAAACTCACCATTAAATTAAATCCACATTGGGATGGTTTAACCTAAAGTAGACCCAACATACAATGTTAGTTTATTTAATTCCTTATGATGAACTTTGTTTAAAAAGCAGTTATGGATCTCATGGACCACAAACAAGTTCATGCAATTATAGGAACAATAAGCCCTGAAGAAGCCACTTTAGTTGCTGAGTTTGATAAGGCTACCAAGAACATCCCTATCATTTCTCTAACCCCGACAGCCACAACATCACTTCCACAATCAGCCGCACTCACTTCATTTGTTCAAATGAGTCACGATATCACTACCCATACACAATGCATTGCTGCCATAATTGGCCACTTTAATTGGCGAAAGGTGACATCAATTTATGAAGATCACAGTACATTTGGCTCCAGCCATAGTCTCTTAACACATCTCTCTGATGCATTACAACTGGTTGGTTCAACAATCCAATGCCACTTCACATTTCCTCCCTTGCATTATCTATCAAACCCAAGCATCTTCATAGAAGAAAAGCTAAAAAAACTCAAGATGAAGGGGAATAAGGTGTTCATACTTTTAAAATCATCTCTAGCATCATGCATCCTACTATTTGAGAAAGCAAATCAGTTGGGAATGATGGAAAAGGGTTACGTATGGATCATTTCTGATGATATATCAAGTCTTCTTGATTCCGTCGACCAATCAGTTATATTGAGCATGCAAGGTGTTGTTGGATTCAAGACTAACTTTGAAGACACAAGCGAGTCTTTTAGAGACTTCAAAATTCAGTTTCGGAGCAAATTTAGAACCAAATATCCAAATGAAGAATATTCGAACCCTAGTATATATGCAGCACGCACTTATGATGCAACATGGGCTGTTGTCAAGTCTATTCAAGCATCAAACGGGTTAAGCTCATCAAAGGACATTCTAGAAAGCATTTTACAAACTGAATTTAGTGGCGTAAGCGGCAACATAAGCTTTAAAGATGGAAAACTAGCACAACCTCCAACATTTACCATAATTAATGTGATTGGTAGAAGCTACAGGGAGATTGATTTTTGGTCACCAGATTTTGGTTTCTCAAAGCATAAACTTGGAAATGGAGAGGGAAACCTTGATTTAATCTATTGGCCAGGTGGCACTCAAAAGATTCCAACTGGTCAGATATGGTCGGAAAATGAAGGGAAACCATTAAAGATTGGTGTTCCTGCAAAAGGTGCTTTTAATCAATTTGTTAAGGTTAGTTATGATCAAAACAAGAATAAAACTTCTGTGACTGGTTTTTCTATAGAAGTGTTTGAAGCTGCTGTGAAGCAGTTGCCTTATTCATTGTCTTACATCTACATTCCATACAATGGCTCGTATGATGAAATGGTAGCTGAAGTATATAACAAGGTACATATATATACAATTCTTTTGCCTGAGCTTCATACTAATTAATTACACTACAAATTAATCCTAGTTGATAATTAATAAAGATTTGGATCTTGAATGCTTAATTGTGCACAAGTACTGCAGACCTTGGATGCAGCGGTTGGTGATACAGAAATAATGGCAGATCGATACGAGTATGCTGAGTTTTCTCAACCATACATAGACTCAGGATTAGTTAGGGTGGTACCCATAAAATCAAATTCTATGAAGGAAGGGTTTATCTTCCTTTATGCCTTTACAGCAAAAATGTGGATTATATTATTGGCAATGACAATAGGCACTGTGTCGATTGTCTGGTTTAATGAACATGTACATGGAAATGAGGATTTTGAGGCTTCATCTTACTTAGAATGTATTAGCAGGATGCTTTGGTTTGCAGTCGCGGTTTTATCATTGGCACATAGTAAGCCTCCGTTCTTATGTCAATATTATTGTCTTTACTTAGACATGAAATTGTTATCACAAACTTCTTTATATATAATATATTTTGGTTGAAATTATTTGACGTGAACAGATCTATATTATATCTTTTTTGGTGCACCGATATAGCCATTTTACATTGAGATGTTCTTAACTTGTAATGACATAGGCATTACTTAATCTTCCAGGAGAAGTTATCAAAAATAATTTGTCTCGGTTAGTGCTGTCTACATGGTTTTTTGTAAATGTGATTGTTGCCGCATGTTTCACTGCTACGCTCTCTTCAATTATGACAGTTTCAACGTTTCAACAACCACTAGATCATCTCGGAAATAATGATGTTGTTGGCTGCAATGGGAATTCTTTCATTGTTCGTTACCTGGTGAACGTCTTGCATTACAGGCCAGAGAATATCAGGAACATTAACTCCATCGAAGACTATCCTGAAGCATTCAAGAAAGGAGAGATAGCCATGGCTTTCTTTGTATCCCCACACGCGAGTGTCTTCCTTGGAAAGTATTGCCATGACTATGAAAAGATCGGACCTACCTACAAGCTTGGTGGTTTCGGTTTCGTAAGTTTCACAGTCATTTTTCAAATAGATGAGTAGTATTTACACAGGTGTTTACATTCTTTGCCTTTTCCTTTTTCCTGATCATGTATTAGGTGTTCCAAAAGGGCTCAACATTGGTGGAGGATATTTCGGAGGCAGTTCTCAAACTAACACAAAACGGAGAGATAAATACTTTAAATGAAAATATGCTAAGATCCTCTTCCAACTGTTCTCTATTAGGTCAAGAATCCAATGGTCCACGAGGTACTCTAGGCCCCAAGCCTTTCACCGGTTTGTTCATGATATCAGGCAGTATATCTGCACTTGTGTTCTTAAACACATTGGGTCGTCTAGTAGCAGATCACCAAGCTTCAATATGGAGTTTAACACTATCAACCCTTATTATGAGAAGAATTGGGAAATGGTTGATGTTGTTACTTATCCAGATTAGAGTTATACAATGCGGCCCTAATGTAGAGATGACTCCTAATCAAGAAACCGCATAGTACATTCCAATGAGAGAAATCATGTTCTTGTGTATAGAGTTACAATGATGACTGAAAAACGATACAATATGCTTTATGATTTGGATATATAATGTTGGTGATATTAGGGTTACATGACAATTGGTGCATTGAAATTATATAAATGCCAAAGAAGACTTTGACTATGCAAACAAAGTGGTGTGCAATGTGTTAATACACTTAATCATGGTAGCGGAAACAAACAAAAATTACCTAAGTGTACGTGCTCCTTAAGATCTAGGTTTTTACTAGTTGTAGAAATAGACTACAAAAATATAAAAATAAGAATACTAACATCTTTGTTCTTCGATTGAGACCTTACAATTAGCAACTCTTGCAATGGATGAAAGACCCAACGTAGAATATTTCTAATATAATTAGACCCAAGACTCAAGAAGCAAAACAAGAAAAACCTAAGAAGGGATGAGTTTAAATTTCTATATCCCAAGAGAGGGGATATAAAATTTGACTTCATGGAGAGATAGGATAGAAGGGGAACGAAAATTAAGTGAAAAAAAAGTCTAAGGTTTGATCCCTAGCACCTTATTTATAGGTAGAAGCCAGAATCCTTAAGCTGATCAGTTTTCTAAGAATAATTCTTATCCTTATCAAAATGGTCACATACTAGGATAATTATCCTAATTTTCATCCCTACCTATCTTCCAAGAGACTTCTACAATATTCCAATTAATTTCAAGAAATTAATTAATATTCAAGTCTCTTGATTAATTAACACTGTTTAATTAATTTCAAAATAATATCTAATTAACTTATCAATTCATAATAATTTTACTACTTATTTTTCTTCGTTTCCATATTGTTAATTGTGTCATGAGGCCAATCCAAAAGGACCTTGTTATTATTTAGAAATATTGTGTAACGCCCGATTTTCAACCCAAAATTTTCATTTTTATTTATTATAATATATCTGATTTATAATTACCTTATGCAGAAACATGTTGTGAACGCATGTGTGTACAGTCGAACCTTGCCTTTCTCATTAAGTACTTGAAAAATATTTATAACAATTGGATAAACTATGGGCTTAGTGAGTTCCCTAAAATATCATACCCCACAATACATAACAATGCGTACACATAATGACTCATGAACTTTTTGTCGATCAACCAATAAAACATATAATGGTCTTCAACATAAAGTTGGTCCACCCTTTGCCTTCTGCATATAGCTGGTCTGCACTTTGGCCTTTAGCATAATGCTAGTCCTCCCGATTCTATTGGCCTTTAAAACAAAGCTGGGCCGCCCTTAACTCCCCACATAATATATCAACGCATATATATATAATAGACAAACAGTTCAACATGACATGCAACTAACTAAGCTAGTCTAGTGGCCCAACTAAGTACTACAAGGTAACTATATCCTAACATACATAGGTTATATGCTAGAGCACATAATATAGTGAGAAAATACACCTTGACAACGACTTGGAAGATTGACAGCTATCTGAGCGATCCTACTGACGATCCAACTGAAGGATAACGCATCGAACGAGTATTAACCTACAATACTTTAACCTATTAAACTCTGTGACAATCTGACAATGAAAACCAGATCTTTCACTAATCGCAATGAATACTAAGAGTTTTATCAAATAAGGATCAGTTAGGATGGACAGTTAGGAGGCATAACCATTTTGGCGTATAACCTCTCTAAAATCCAACAACCAAGCCAACATGACTATTCTAGACACCTCTCCCCTAAGTAGATCAATCAACTTTATAACTATAATTATTGATAAATCTAATTTATAGGTTCATAATAATGACTATGATTATAAATATAAGTTACAATAAAAGTGATATAAGTGTAGCTTAACCTACCTAGATTTTCCTGAAAAAAGTCTGGAAATAGCACCGACAAAACTTCGGCATGCTAGCTACTAGATGACAGGCTCTCAGGGGCTTCAGGGCTTCTATATGAACTCAAAACTAAGGGAAAATAGGGCTAAGGTTGAGAGAAACATGAGAGAGAAGTTTGGGAGGGTGTGGAGATCGAATAGAGGGTTGAAGCTCTATTTATACCAAAAGTATTTGAAAGCACGCCACACACCCTGTTTGTGCACCGTGCACTTTGTAGGGTGGGTGATGTGGCTCCATACAAATTCTGACACATGGTAGAAATCTAGTGGAGTGTAAGAGCACGTCGTGCCTCCTATCGTTGCACGACGCACACATGTGTATTTTTAGTTTTTTTTTTTCAAAAAAACAAATCTTTTTTGTACGAGTTTTGTTTTTAACGTTCTTTATATCCACGTGTAGCTATTAGCGAGCAATACAACTTTCATTTAGACTTCGTCGGCTAATTCTCACTTTATTTTTAAAACTATAAATTTTTAACAGGATTAGACTGTTAAAGTTCGTACAAAATTCATAACTTATCCATACGGATTTTGTTCTTGACTATCTTTATATCGATGAAATCATATCGACGAGATCTTTGACTCTCGACTAAATTGTTTTTACTAACAATCGAACGATTTAAATTTTGGTTTCTATGTTGCATACTGTTACATTGAAACTTCTAAAAATCATAACTTCTTCATGCGAAGTCAAATTTAGACGCTCTCTATATGCCCACTCTCGGTTTTATGACTATTACGGCTTTTGTTTAGATCACTAAGGCTAATAAGTAATATATCTCTAATTTGTATTTTACGACGTAGAAAGTCGTGTTGGTTTAATCGTGAAACTTCGAAGAAGCATAAATTTTTAATACAAAGTTGGATTCGGGCATTCTATATATCTACGAAAAACGTATTGACATTTCCTATATGTTTATAACGATTACTTTAGCTCAAAAGTAATACATCTCTACTTCTAGTTTTATAAACGATGGTTTATATTGAATTCTAATGGAATAGGAAAATGGGGTATTAATGTGACATCCTAGAATTTAGGTCAAAGACTATAGACGGTCAATTCATAGTAAATCTCTTTGTAATTTGGCACATTGAGTTTTAGTGCATCTAATGTATAAATGAGTTCACTTCAACTTTTATAAAATATCAGATGGTATCTTACTTCTAAATGTGTAAACTGACCATCGAATAAAACAGCTCAAACTACAACCCTAGTTAATAGGTCAGGAAAACACAAATTTCACAGTAAGCAGTTGTGAGCAAAAAAACACTCTAGTCTTGTATTGCATGTTTCCCTGTTTCCGAAAATATAAAGAATGTCCAAAAAGGAGTTTGTATGCAAAAGATACGACCATTTTAGAAAATCAAACCAGTATATTATTTTCTTAAATCCGAAAAAACTATTTCTATCCTTTGAGGGACTTACACACCTCATATACTAATTTCGAAAGCATTTTTGGACTAAAGTCATAGTATAATATTTAACTTCATACTTGAAATATTTTTATTAAAATATTATAAAAAAAAAAACCAAACGTTTTTGATTCAGCAAATCGTGAAAACTTAAATTATTTATTTCAACATGATTTCTATTATTGGTAATGTATTCCACGAAAAATATAAGAATCCAAAACGGTTGATATGGATTTTAACGATGGAAATAGTCCAACAATCCTAAATTCGTGAACAACTATATATATATATATATATATATATATATATATATATATATATATATATATATATATATACACGGGTATGAGACATGTGTCATGATCAATTACATGTGGCTAGTTAACTTTGCATAAACAGATATTATATATTTGTCAATTTTAAATTTAAGAGACCAATGTTTAACAAAAATTAACAAGTTTACTAGCATATGAATTTAAATTTATAAAGAGACATTATATTTTTGTCATGATCAATTACAGGTGGCTATTTAACTTTTCATAATAGACATTATATATTTGTCAATTTTAAATTTAAGAGACCAAGGTTTAACAAAAATTAACAAGTTTACTAACATATGAGTTTAAATTTATATATATGTATTATACAAATTTATATAACAAACTCATGACAAATGAAAATAGATTATATTCATCAAGAAATGGCTTGTAAAAGTCTTAAGTATACATACATGTGTATACAAGAGGAAAACAACCAACAATACAAATAATCTCAAAGTACCTATTATAGAAAATTAAATGCTAATACATACATAAATACATACCCAATGAAATAAATACATCAGTACACCCAAATTACATACTTATCTAATTCTAATAAAAGAATAGTTTTAATCTCGTTTTGATATGTGTCATCATATTAGACCTCCTAATTAATACACATTTTATTCTTTTTTTGCCATGTGTCACCCTATTAAACCTATTAATTAATGTATTCCACTTGTCAACCTATTAATTATTTATTTTAAATTTTAAAAATTTCATTTTAATTACAATAAATTAATAACAATGGAATAAAAATTAAAATAAAATTAATACAAATTATAAGGTGATATAATTCCACATATTTATTTAAATTAACGATTATAATTGATTAATAATTTTGTGTTCTAACTATTAAAGTTTAATTAATTTTGTAACCGTGGTTTCACGGGTTATAAACTAATTAACTAACAAATTGATCGCAAGTTAAAACCAAAATACATCTCTTAAATTGACAACCAAATTTAAAGTATTACTTCCACAACCCAACTTAACCAAGTTAACACAGAAACAAGTTGAAATGATTTTTTCTACAATTTAATCAAAGTACACAATACTAAAGACTAAAGTCAAAAGGTTTCTTCCACTCTTCAACTTGCACATAACCACACGTAAAGGAAAAAACCACATATGCCTTCTTCTTTTGTTATTCTCCTGCTGATAAAGACTGAGTAAAACGCCAACCATACACTCAACACATCCATCAAAACTACATGCACAATACAAGTATTGTTTTATACTCTTATAATCTTCCATTCAATCTCTTTATACAAAGAAATCACAGAAAAATTACCTTAGGTTGAAGCCAATGAGATCAATCACAACAGTCAATTTTCTTGTTTCCATTCCTGTCAAGCAAAGCTAGCAAACAAAAAACCTCTTTGATCGATATTTTTCTGCCTGTTTCAACATTCTTCGTGTTAGCTACCAAATCACAAAGAAGAGGGTGCAAGGAGATTACCGGAGAGTCGGAAACCATTTCCCTTCCTTCACGACGTGCTTCACTGCCAAACCCTACCATCCGCGGT